TAACTAAATTTTACCTAATATGCAGTAATAAATATAAGAAATAAATGTATTTATTACAGTTACACGGTTGTAGAAAAAAAATTGTACAAGAAGAAGATAAAAATTATTGGGAAACCTTGTGAAGATATCGGTATTTGCCAACACTGGCAGACAGTCGACTGTAAACAGTACTGTTGCTGCGCGGTGTTTCTTCACTTTCGCTTTCGATCCTTTTCACCAAATCTTTGTCGTCGGTACTGGTCGAAGATCTTCGTTCGGTACGTGATGCTGCTTTTCTCCCTGGAACAACCAATATATCACAGACGAACAGCCTGATGTTTTGAATCTTCTCTTCATTCCAGCTATTGTATTATCCGATGGTCAAGGGTGAACAGTTAAAGTTTTCAAGGTTAACTAATCACTGGAATGAAATTTAAGCAATAAAAGACATAAAAAATTTCTTTTTCAACAAACCTCTACTGAGACTACGTGAAGGTCTAGCTCGGGCTTGAGTGCCAGGAGTTTGTCCGCTCTAGAAAAAACAGTTATTTTTACTCAAAAATAATATAAATGTTTCACTTAACCTGGTTATTCTAATCATTTATACAGCTTCAGACTGTAGTTTAGCTAAGTAAAATGTGATTTTTGGCAAAGGTATATGTTGTTTTGTAGTAAACTTCCAATATATATGGCAGATTGTTTGAAAAAAAAAAAAAAAAAAAGAAGCAAGAAGTTTCAATTGCAAATAGAGACCCTTATTTTCCGACAAATTTCGACTTTTTCTGCTGCATCAAGCTTTTTTTGCACGGCAGCAAGCTTGGCCAACTGTTTTTCACGATTTTTTAGCATGAGATCCATCATAACATTATGCCGATCAAAAGCTTCATTTCCGCCATCTTCGTCATATTCACTTCGGTCTCGAAGCTACAATAGTAATATGGGAAGGAAAAGAGTATGACAATTTTTTTCTTCGAATTTTAATTTGTAGCTACGACAGATGGTGATAAACTAAAAGAAAGGAAAGACTTTTGAATAATAACTGATAAAAGAAATACTTTCGAAAAAAATTTTCAACTTTTAAATTCTTTTACATCTTTTTGACAAATGCAAAGAAAGAATTTTTGAAGATTTTTGAAATTGAATTATTTTTAGCAGTAACCTGGTTTAATTTTTTAAACCAAAAAAAAGTCATTTTATAATTGGTAAAAAAAAAACGTGTATCAACAAAAATTTTTTTAGTTGAATAGTTGGTTTCCAAAAGAAAAAGAACTTTATTATCAATAATTTCAAAAATGTTGCGATATTTTCTTTGAGGAAAAATAATCTTTGAGGGACAATGTGAGACAAAAAAATGGTGAGCTCAAAACAGGAAAACAAAGTTGGGACAGCACCTACCAAACCAATCCGTCGAAGATGCTTCTGCATATGCGGTGATGCAAAATACTGTTGCAGGTGAACATCGTAAAGTGGATTATAGTTATCCAAGAGATCATCAGCCATTTTTTCTTTTTGGTTTTTTTTTTTTTGTTTATTTTTCAGTTATAAAATATGCGATCTTTTTTTTTTCTCACCTCTTTTTCCTTAAGCTTCTTAAACCAAAAAAAAAAAAAAAAAAAAAAAAAAAAA